AAAAAAAAAAAAAGAAGAGAAAGAGGGATAACTTCTAGTAGGGTTTGATCCTGCCATAGTCTTTTTCTCCATCATAAATTCTCCATCCCATCAGAATCCTGGGCACATACATGTGTGCCCAGCATGCACGTCACTGGGCCAGGACTCAAACTGTAGTTGGCCACATGGGATCCTGGCTTCCTCTGCGCAGTGTTTAACTGCTGAGTCATAGGGCAGGCCCTGCATCATGACATTTTGATCAGTGATAGAACACAAATACGACAGTGGTCCCTTAAGATGATAGTAGGCTATACCACATAGCCTAGGTGTGTCGTAGGCTATACCATCTAGGTTTGTGTAAGAACACTCCATGGATGTTTGCACAATAATGAAATTGCCCGAGAATCCATTGCTCAGACTATCTTCAGGTCGTTAAATAACACATAACTATATATTATATACTTCCGTGGGGAGGGGGCACGTGGAACACAAACCATTGAGCACTGAAGACGTTCTTTAAGCTACACAACAGTGAAACAAAGCCAGAATCAGAAGGCAAACACTACAGAGGGCAAGAAATCATCCAACCAAAATGGATTTTTAGAAAATGTTTTCCACATTGAATTATTCTGGGGGCCAGCAGGTGGCTTTTGTGGTTAAGGTGCTAGACTTCCACATGGCAAACTGTGGTTTAAGTCCCAGGCCTAGTGGCCTGCATTCTCACTTTCCCTCTCTCTCTGTCTCGGTTTAAGTCCCAAGCCTAGTGGCCTGCTTTCTCACTTTCCCTCTCTCTCTGTTTCTCTCTGGTGAGCCCACATGCCCTATAGCAAAACTCAAAAAATAAATAAATTTAATAAAATAAATGATTTTTAAAAAGAATTATTCCTAATACAAAAGTATAAACTATTCTAATAAGTAACATAGAACTGAACAAAAGTTAGTTACGGACAGTATATATATATAGAGATATTCATAATAAATATTGATTGCTATAAAAATATTGATTATAACCTTGTTTTATCTCACGATTTACAGGTGTAAGGGTTTTACAGATGCTTATTTTTATTTCCCTGGTAATAAGTCAGTCATGACTTATCTTTCTTTGGTAGCCTCGTCTTTTTTCCAGTTCTCCAAAATTATTTTTAATACTATGAGTAAGCAAGCTCCAAATACCACAGCACAAGTAAGCCTAGATATAAGTGTCAAAATAAAACTGACAGGGGACTAGGGACTCAGGAGACTCTTCAATTAATCTAGGGACTCAAATGATCACATGGCTATGAAATTAAATCCCAAGATCAGTTTTTAGGATGCTAAACCATTTAAAGAAATTCAGACCAACTTTAGAGTCAAGGTGGTAGATGCCACAGTTATAGAAAACATCTTTAATTTATTCAATCTGTTCCAAACTTAATTGCTACAAAACTTATGGAGAAAACAGTATATTCAACAAATTTGTCCAGTCAGATTTTCTTAGAATAAGTTAAATTGAATGATCATGAACAATGTAATTTATGGCTAGCTTTACTTGAGCTATATAAAATGTTTCAAGTATTTAAGTGAATAATTCTTTTTAAAAATGGGTAAACACTGGAACCAGCAGTTAGCGTAATGACTGGACTCCCATGTAGTCGACTGCCATTCAAGTCCTGGAGCCAGTGGTTTAAACGCACACCGGGCCAGTGTGTGTACATGCCCAAGATCCCGAGAGAAGAATAGAAGAGAAGGGACTGTGGCGTGGCCATCCCCTCTGGGGCGTGATTTCTCACTTTCTGTCTCTCTCTGTCTCTCTGGCGAGCGCACATACCCTATAGCAAAAATCTCTCCAAAAAAAAAAAAAAAAACGTAAACACTATGAAACACCTTTTGGATATTAACCTAACAGTTTTATATTGCCTTCTGTATTCTTACATTCTGGTCTTAATTATTACAAATTTTTGGGACCAGCAGTTAGTGTAATGGCTATGTCGCTGGACTCCTACGTGGTCGAAAAAAAAAAGTCCCGGACCCGGTGGCTTAAAACTCACGCCAGTCGCGTGTGCATGTGTGCCCAAGATCCCAAGAGGAGAATGGAGGAGAAGGGACTGCAGCATGGCCATCCCCCTGGGGGGTGATTTCTTGCTTTCTGTCTCTGTCTCTGTCTGTCTGGCGAGCGCACACACCCTATAGTGAAAACCTCTCCAAAAAAAAAAAAAAAAGAATTTTCTCCTGTTATACTGTATAAAATGCTATAAGAACAAAACAAGATAATAACAAGTAAATAAGTAATAAACAAATACAGGGACTCAACCAAGTACTCCAGGCCACCTGATTTTGCTACATAACACTCATGAATTTAGTGTTAATTGATATCTCCTCTGAAATCTTAAGCTATGTTGAAATTAATAAAAGGAAGAAATTTTCTTTAATCAGTATAAAAAGATCCATGCCAAAGAATTGTATTAAAGCATAAAGCAAACCAGTCCCGTCATTTTTGATAATTTTCTTGTATTATATATCTAACAAAGGAGTGCTACTTACATGTCCTGCATATTGTCCAAATTTCTTCCTTAGCCCAACAGCCAGGCCAGTGAGACATTTTGCTGCCAACGCTACTAACATGACATTGGTGTCCTTCCCAACGACCTAGAGAGGAGGAAAAATCAAAATAGTCAGTCCTATAGAAAGGTACTGAAAATAGGGGCCAGCAGGTGGTGTGGTGGTTAAGGCCCCTGACACTCCCACATTGCTGACCATGGTTCAAGTCCTGGACCTGGTAGCTTGCTTTCTCACTTTCCCTCCCTCTCTCTGTGTGTCTCTCTATACTCAAATGAAACGAAATGAATGAATGAATAAAATGAAATAATTTTTTAAAAAAAGAAAGGTGCTGAAAACTTATTCTCAAAAGAACTCTGAAAGCTATTTTGCTAATGAATAACTAACTTTTACAAAATACAGAAGATTCCCCTTTGATAACACTGAATGTGCACAATTTCTTGAAGTTTATAGAACTACCAAGAAAATATTTAAAGTCAAAGTGATACCAGATTTTAAAACAATGTTTCCAAACTAACCTAGGTCAATAACCTCGAGCAATTCTTAAAAAATGCATGACTGTACTAGGCCAACAGGTAGTGCAGAGGTTAAGGCACTAGATCTTACACAGCCAGTTGTGTAGTTCAAGTCCTGGATCCGGCAGCTTGCAAAGCACACTGGGGCAAAGGAATCTTTGAGCCCACTGAGTAGGTACTGCGAGCAAGGCTTACCCTCCTGAGTTTAAAAAATTTGTGGATAAGACATTATCATTCAAATTAAATGGTGGCAGATTTGTCCAAGGAATATTGTGGGGATTTGATCCATTTATGGATCCTGTGATAGATGAAGGTGTGGAGACGGCAACTAGTGAGCAACAGAATAATACCGAGTGGTGGTAATACGAGGAAATAGTATCATGTGAGAAGCCCTGGGTTAAGTATAAATAATGGCTATTCAACAGAAAAATCCATGTCCCCTCTGCAGCAGGCCTAATTTACTATGATGTAAATATCAGGTCACATACATTTTTGTAACAAACTTTTTGTTAGTAAAAAAAGAAAAATAGGGGCCAGCAGGTGGTGTGGTGGTTAAGGCGCTAGAAATTCCCACATGGCTAACCATGGTTCAAGTCCTGGACCTGGTGGCTTGCTTTCTCACTTTCCTTCTCTCTGTGTGTCTGTCTTCCTCTGGTCAAATTACACTAAATGAATGAAAAAATAAAATTAAATAAATAATTCTTTAAAAGACAAAGAAAAAGAAAAGCACACTGGGCATGTGTGTGTACATGTCTAAAATCCCGAGAGGAGAACAGAAAAGGGACTGCGGCATGGCCATGCCCCTGGGGGTGATTTCTCACTTTTCCTCTCTCTGTCTCTCTGGCAAGTTCACGCACACTACAGCAAAAACTGGAGGGAAAAAAAATACCATCAATAATGTTGCTTAAATGTATGTATTTGTGTTGAAAAGAGATGACCAATAAGGAAAAATTTAACGGCCCGGTCTGCTGCATACCACCACTCCACAGCTGGAACTCTCACACTTACCTTCTTCAGTGCTTTTACTAAATCTGCATAATCACCAGCTTCCAGTTTGGGGTTTTTCACCAGCACTTCTACAGCCTCCAGGGCCTCTTTTCTTTCTTGCCATTTTTTTGCCTCCTACAAGACATAATATTAGTCACTTACAGAAAATGAGAGAATAGAGTAAGTCTATTTCTTGCATTCTACTAATTCAATTCGAAGACTTTTTCAGCAACTTTTTCTAAAGAGAAACAAAACTGTGCAGCTAATCAGAACATTTTGTTTACATATATCTTTTTCATATACAAAAGGTACTTAAGAATTCAGAACTCTTGGGACCAGCAGGTGGTGTAATGGTTACATTGTCGAACTCCCATATGGCCGACCACAGTGCAAGTCCCAGACCAGAGGCTTGAAACTCACACTAGGCACGTGTGTGCGCATGCCCTGAATCCTGAGGGGAGAAGGGATTGAGATGTGGCCATCCTCCCGGGGGATGATTTCTCTCTGTCTCTCTGACAAGCAGACGTACCCTATAGCAAAAAATCTCTCTTTAAAAAAAAAAAAAAAAGAAAGAAAAAAGAATTCAGAACCCTAAAGTAGTATAAGTAGACAGCATGCCACAGACTTTTCTGTCTCATTTTTTAGATGGATATTAGTTTGAAGATGTCAAATAGAAAATATCAATAAAAAGAATTTTGGGACCAGCAGTTAGCGCAATAGCTATGTCGCTGGACTCCCACGTAGTCAACCACAGTTCACGTCCCGGACCCGGTGGCTTAAAACTCATGCCGGGCGTGTGTGCGTGCATGCCCAAGATCCTGAGAGGAGAATGGAGGAGAAGGGATTGCGGCGTGACCATTCCCCCTGGGGGGTGATTTCTCACTTTCTGTCTCTCCCTGTCTGTCTGGCGAGCGCACACGCCCTACAGTGAAAACCTCTCAAAAAATAAAATAAAATAAATAGAAAGAATTTCCATCCCATCTCACAGTGGCAGTTACAGGAAAGGAATTTCTACATTGACAGCATTAAAAAGACTAGAAAGGTAGCAACCAGTGACATGGTGGCTAAGCAGCTGGATACCATGTGGTTGAATATATGGTTTAATTCCCAGACCCAGTGGCTAGAAAACCATTTTGGGTGTGTGTGCATGTGTGGTGTAAATCCCAACAGGAGGAAGAGGAGGAGAAGCAATTACAGCATGACCATCCCTAAGAAAGGGTTGTTTTCTCACTCCCACCCCCTACTAGCCCCCCAGAAAGTGCATGCACTCTCTGGCAAAATTACAAAAAAGGAAATAAAGACCAAAGAAGGACAAATACATAATCAACAAATAAAACTATTATGGTCTCAGAGATGAATTTTCCAGATCATAGGTATAATACTAATCTTTTTGTTTTATAGCCATAAAAAGGAATATGCTTCTCTAAAGAGTGAACAATCATTCAATAACTTCTTTTTAATTACTAGAGGGGTCATGCACTTGCCAGAGACATAGAGACAGTAAGAGAGAGACAGAGAAAGCACTCCCAAGGAGCGTGGTCACATCATAATCCCTTCTCTCCATTTCTCCATCCTGTCAAGACTTTGGGCATGCATGCACACACACCTGGTATGTTCTTCAAAGCCACCAGGACCATGACTTGAACTGTGTGGCCATTTGAATCCAGTTCCCTTAACCAACAGAATATGAGGCTGGCCCTCATTCAATAATCTGAACCCCCACTATTTGAAAAAAAAATGGGATGCAAATATGACAAAATTGCCACCCTGGATATTACAGTTCAGTACAATTTATCAAATATTTATTTGGGGAACCAGCAGTTAGCGTAATGGCTATGTCGCTGGACTCCCATGTAGTCAACCAGGGTTCGCGTCTCGTACCCGGTGGCTTAGAACTCACGCTGGGCACGTGTGTGTGTGTGTGCCCAAGATCCCAAGAGGAGAATGGAGAAGGGACTGCGGTGTGACCATCCCCCCTGGGGGGTGATTTCTCGCTTTCTGTTTCTATGTCTCTCTCTGTCTGTCTGGTGAGCACACGCACCCTA